GACACGGACCCATTCGCTGGTTGATGGCTTGGAGGAAGAGTCAGTTAGTTGCCTTTAAGGCGGCCAAATCGCTTAACGTCTCCTAAACTCCAGATCCGCGTAATTACGTATCCCATCAACCGGCTCCAAGGCTTTGGCGAGCTGACATACAAGACTTTAGTGCTGCCTCTGACGAGCCCTCTTTGTCAGAACGGTCGTGCCTTCAGTAAATAACTCCTTGACCGAAGAAGAGTTGTTGTGAGCAGAGATTACGGCTTCATTGAATGCCAGAGTGGTGTTGCGAGGGGTAGCCTCAGCAACGATCAGGCGAGAATCATCACTTGTAGTCTTTGAAGACTGAAACACCTTCTTCGATGCTGAAATCTTCCTGTACTTGCAAGACGAGGAAGATCTTGATAAGGAGGATGAGAGATGCTCCTTAAACTTGTCCTGGTCGAACTCGTGTTTGACCTCTGTATTAATCGGTATCTTGATTTTTGGTTACAACACTACAGCATCAGAAATTGATTTATTTGCTAAATTCATTATAACTTTTATCATTTACACAGATTCAAATGAGTCTTAGCCTTACACAGATTCAAATGAGTCTTAGCCTTTTTATAAGACTTTTCTCTTACAAATAAATTATCAAAACGATCTCCTAGAAACACACGCAGAGGATGTTTATCACCCGTTGCTTGTGTGAGATGTTTGCATGTGTCGGGGTTTATCCGTGGATCACCGCGGATCAAATCTGGTTGATTGGAATAAAAGATCAATGCTCTTGCTTCACAAAGGAAACAATTATAGAAGTAAATAATCTCAACAAAGTAAGATTACTACTCTTCTCGAGATCAAAACAAAGTCTGATCTTAAGGAATAGTGGAACGGGCTTCAGATCTCTCGAACTCTTCCTCTTTATACTGAAGAACTCACCAAGAACTCGCTAGCATCTTTGAAATTCGTGGGTTAAGTCTCCAAATTGACCGCACCTCGCCCTCTTGCTCAAAATTATTCCCTGAAAATAGGGGTGCTAGGCTTGTATTTACAGGCTTCAGATGTAGCGTTTTAGGATAAGAATCGACGATTTGACATTATCCTCAGTTAATAACCGCTTAACCATATTTAAGAATAGTCTCAACGCAGTTGGGGAGGCTTAGAATGAAAGAATCTCGAAAAACCATCAATAAACACGTCATCGAGGAGTTTGATTGGGCGAGACACATTGAAGTGTCTCTCCCGCGAGACACATTGAAGTGTCTCACAGGTAAGACACTTTGAAGTGTCTTACAGGTAAGACACTTTGTATTAGTCCCTAATGCCACTAGGAAAGAACCCTAGGAGGGGGGTGAATAGGGTTTATGTTAATCTAATCTGATTATATGCCAATTAAAACCTATTAACAAATATATTCTTACAAGATAGATATACAACTAATTATGAGCAAGAATATGCAATATGAACAAAACAAATATATTCTTACAAGATAGATATACAACTAATTATGAGCAAGAATATGCAATATGAACAAAGGAATATATCCTAGCAATAACAAGATAGATATACAACTAATTATGAGCAAGAATATGCAATATGAACAAAGGAATATATCCTAGCAATAAGATATACTATGAGATATATATGCAATGATATGAAACTAACACAAGGGTAAAGAATTTGAAACTAGATAGTGGCAAACTAAATAATGAGACAATGGCGATATGAGAAATGAGCACAAATAAGAATAAACGCCAAAGCACACTCAAACACAATCAAATGATCACGGAGTTCAGACCTTCCATCCTACGTCTCCGCTCCCCACTCCTGGGGAGAAATCCACTATCACAACTGGGTTTTCTACGTTCACCTGAATAACGTTTACACCTTACACTCGGTTTTCTAGCTAACCGAAAACTTTACAATCAACACTCTTGCAACCCCACTCTACACCCTCTCAAGTGTAGGACCTAGACGTGTCTCTCTTAAGTGCTCGGATATAACCTCTCTCTAGGTTCGTCAACCGACGCCACTCCTCTTGGGACGATCCCCGACTCACACCACACACTTCTCTCAGTGTACAAGTGTATTACAAAGTGATCTCACAATTAAGTCTCACAAATACAAATATGTTCTCTACAATAGATGAGAACTCAATTAAGCTCACTCTCAATTGTTACAACACAAATACAAATATGTTCTCTACAATAGATGAGAACTCAATTAAGCTCACTCTCAATTGTTACAACTCCTCACAACCTAATTATACAATGTATGCAAATACAATAAGCTCAATGGTTGTGTGTGTAAGCAATGAGAAAATCAATCATAAACTTAATGTAAACCCTAACTTAATGAAAATAATAAACAACAAAAAATTAATATAAAGCTAGTATTGAGTTTAGGAATTCTTCTCTGAAAAACAAGATGGAGAGATGTATTAAAATAAAGCCTAAAAAATGTAGATGATCTCCTCCACTTGTGAAACAATCTTCACAAACCAAACTCTTTTAAAACACACTAAACAAACTCTAAAACCCTCTTAAACTTGTTTAAAACTTTCTCAAGTGGTTGCTGGTAGAAGAGGGTTTGAGGGGTTTA